AAATCCAATACTTCTTCCATGCCTCCGAACATGACATCGACAAAACCGAGCAAGAAATCAATCGTTTGCATGGAAGAACAAGAGCAGAGGTACCATGTCGAGTGTTTCATCAGATGTACTGCAAAATAGCAGTGTAACTGGACACAATAGTGTTGCTTATACAATGGAGTATGTGAATAGTGAATGTGCAGCCATGTTGATCATTTGACTATGCATGTACATGTACCGGTACTATGGTGCAAGGCACCTAAGATCCCCAATGGGGGGGGGGGGGGGGGTCACGGGCACTGCATTGACTGATGTATTACTTTGCCAGGCGATTGGCTAAAAACAAACCTCGTGCCACTTTTTTATCCAATCAAAAGTAAAAACCCAACCCACTCGCACACGTTTTCCCGCGCTTGGCGTCGGCTACATGTATTTGCTTGGATGGTTTTGATTGGTTCACTGGATTGACGTCTCTCTCCTTTGTGAATCGAAAGAGACGTCAAAGAAGTTATTTCTTTGGTTATGGCTTCGCGGCACTTTATTGAAACCCGCCATTCACACACTAAAGTTGAGTAGTTGTTTGCTGCTCGTACCTTCGCGTAACAATTGCAAAATTGAAGTGTTTTCCATTACATATTTCTTGTTCTTAACTCATCTTTTTAATGATCCTCTTTTTCTCACAAGTGACACCAATGTTTACCTGAAATATTTCTCATACCTCACGTTTTATAAACCATGAAGTTTATAATGGTTGTACATGTATTTTCGTCTTTAACAGTCCAATCTGTCTTTCAACATGAGAAGCTTACTATTCATATGTGGCATCCTTCTTTTCGCCAGTTTAATAAACAGTAAGTACATTGCTGTGTATATCAAGAGAGGATGAGGAGTAAGAAAGTTAATCCACCATACAGGCCTTATCTCCAAGGGAATCCCTCTTAAGTTATTTTTAGACATGGTGCCCAGTTCTACCGCGGATAATGTTTCCACGCGCGTTGCGTGGATGTTTTCGTGGAGGATGAAAAGGCGTAGAAAGCCACTTGGGCTTTCCACGTGATCAAACTTCGCGTCACGGATTGGCTGTTTCTAGACCCTTCCGGGATTTCAGAAACCAGCAGTAGTCTAAAGATAACTGATCTATTCTTCCATTATGATATTTGGATCTGGATTCGTGTTTAATTTAACATGTTTTACTTGATAGATTCTAACGGAGTTCCTGTAGGGGAGGAAGGTCAGTAACCAAATAATGTCATAATGGCTATAACATATAGCCTTCTTAGATAGAGCGAAAAGTTAGCTGTCGACAGATATTATAGTTATCGGCAATTAAGGGATCAGTCATTATTTACCGTCTTGAGGGTCGGGGGAAGGGAGTCGGAGGTTTTTCGGCTACAGATAGTAGCATTGAGCTGATCCCCTCTTTAAATGTTATTTCACTGAAGTGATCCCCTCTCATAACTATTGATAAATTTCGTGATCTCCCATGTCTTTGCACACATATTCACCTTTAGATGTGTATATTCAGTGCTTTTAACGTTCATATGCAAGCAATATTTCTAACTATGATGTTCTTACAGTATAATGAGGCCGCCGCTGGGAATTAACGGTAGAGTGCACGTTTTGGAATCGAAACCGCTGGCAAAAATACTAGTAATAGTTTTTTTCAAGTTGACTATTATCTAGTTGGTGTGATCAGTTGTTTGCTATCGACAACTAAGATGGGTCTCGTTTAATACAAAAGGAAAAATGTTTAGTTGCCATAATAATTTTTGACAGATTCTTTTTATCGATAGCTGACGACTTGCTTCACACACACTTTTTTTTTTCAACTCGTCCCAAGGTATCTCCAAGATTGTGGACGCAGAGGACGAGGTCGCAGGGGTTTTTTTCCGTTACTGATTTCTTTTAATTGTTTTCAAATAACTCTCTCGCTGCTAAAACCCTAAAATCCAAGATTGGTATCAAAAGGAGAAGGATTTTACATGTAAAATTTATAGAATCTATTTTTTATTATTACTTAGCGGAAGCAGGCGACTGTCCAAACTTGGAAAACGAGGAATGGAACATTGGAAACTGCAACCATTGCTATTGCCGAAATGGAGAAGTGTTTTGCGAGAGTACATGCGCGGAGAATCAATGATTTAAAGTACGCTTCTTTTTCGGTTTAAAATATCTTATCAAAAGTCATCGTAAATATAAATATAAGAAAGGAAAAAACCCAGGGGGGAACTCCCATATAAAAATGACGGGAGTACTCGTCGGAAATTCTGAAAAGAACCCATAAGAGGTCCTGTTTTGTGGGCGTGGCTTGAAATCTTGTTTACTCCAAGAGGTATCAATTCTACAACAACACATTATCTCCTGTCATATTTTTTCAGCTCAATACCCTACAAGGTACTGCAAAAGCTCTCGCTGTGGATCTTTTGAGGCTGAGCATTCTCAGAGGTACCAAAACCGCTTTTTTAGCCCCTGAAAGATACGACGAGCACCCCCGTCCTTTTTATAAGGGAGTCCGCCCCTGTAGAGATAACTTTAGATTCTCAGTGTACAAAGTATCAAACGTGACAATAATAAGAATGCAAAGCAAAGCCATGCAAAGTGAAGAGACACAACACCAAGCACAGAGTATTAAAAATATTTACAACCGGATTTAATTTTTGAAATAACAGGATGATTTTTTGCGTTTCTCTTTTCAGAAAATGAACTGTAATTTGTGGGGACGTTCTGTTACAATAGAAAGGACGTTATCTTTAGTGAATAACCTGGAGGAGCAGATCATTCAAAACTGTTGTTAAAGGCAATAAAGTAGACTGACATAGAAACGATTTCATCTGTCGCTTTTTTGATTTTTTGTGTATGTTGCCTGTTCCGACTTTCCTTGTCGTCAACTTCGCTAACTACGTACATCGGCGACCAAAGAAAATTCTCTTATTACTGATGGCGGTTCATCTGCACGGCTGTTTTCTGGCTGACTGGGTGGTAACAGGGCAGAACTTAGAAAGCAAAGTGACTTTGGAGAGGTTGCTAAGTCGGAGTTATTCGAGAGTCAATCAGCAAATAGCTAGTGATACCCTGACCAATCAGAACGAGCTCGAAGTAATAACATGTAAACGGTTGTACGCACACTCTGCACAAACCACTGACGTCACTAGCTGCTTACGAGTAGTATCCAAACTCCCCTGAGCCAATAATGCCTTTGGACATGCTCGATCTGTTTAGGTATCGTCAAAGTACAGTCTACACCGCCGTGGTTGAAAATTGTCGAAAATTTTGTGACGCGTCCTAGCAGCATCGCAGGCTAAAACTGTCCTGCCAAGAATCCCTTACCCTTTTAGGCGCTAAGTAACTTTCAACTTTATTCGGCTATACATCTCTTTTTATACAAGTTCTCTAAGTTACAACAAGTAAGAAAATAAAACTTAAAAGAACGAAAGGTTTACAGAAAAGCAGAAATAATACAATACAAGTAATACAATACCGTCAATACGTCATATATTTTTCTCTAGGGACCTATTTCCCCTCAAAATCTTTTTATGGAAGAGTCGGAGAGAGCTAAAAAGGAGAGGGGCTTTTAGAGAGCTGGGACAGAACTTTTATTGAATAATCAATCAGATAACATAAGCAAGATTTAACGTATGATCGTTTAATAATCATTCTGGTTAACGTTAACAATTTCAAAACAACAGAATAAATGTAATGGACGGATATACGGCTCCAAAAACTACTACCTAAAATATCTTCATATTCCAAAACATTCTTGGTTTACCAGTCTGAAAAAGAGGGGAAAGACGTCTTCGTCAAGCGAGAAATGTGACAAGAAAAGTAGTTCTATAGATGGCGTCTTCAAAGAGTTCAAGGGAGTCATCAAACTCGATTCCAGGCTCTCTTTCCTTTGCCGCCTTGTCGTGAAGCAAAGGAGAGAGAGCCTTGGATCAAGGTTGAGGGGTGATTCAGAAAAACAACGCAAAAAAGCCTCGAATGAGTCAAAGCTATAAAAATTTGTTTAATACATCGTTCCATCTCGTTTATATTATCCAACTCGGTCTCAAATCCTTTAGACACCTTTGAGAATACAAATTAGGTGTTACAGGTGCTAATTACAAAACATAGAGAAATGTCAAACAAAAAACGGGAACTGAACACACAATTAGACTATTCTGGCGCAAAAGTCTTTGTCGGACATTTCTCTTTGTTTTATTATTAGCACCTGTAAACACCTAATTTGTATTCAACTCACGAATCTTTTTACACCTTGCCGGTACAGATATAAACAAAACTTATCTTTATTTTATTTCTTACTTCATAATTTAAAGAAAACGACAAAACTTTTAAGTTTGAAAGACATATTTCAACAGAACCTATTGTCATCTTCAGTTGATTGATGTACCAAGCTTTGGAAGTAGATTTTATAATAAGTAGAAAATGCTAATTGTGATGATGAATAGTGACAACAAAGTAAAGCAAAGCGTGAAAGTGTGAGAATTATAAGGATAGTTTTGGGGTGCAATTATTGATTTAAAGAGGTATGCCCTCTTTGAATATGAATAGTGAACCTCTTTGATTCCAAGCTGGAAACTATTGGAGGCGTGATCCAAAACATGGAAACAATCTGCTGCCAAAATGACATCGAAGCGTCGTTTTTTATCGTTAATACTAGCAGCTGCAATATCCGGCGTTAATTTAAAACACTTTTTTCTCGCAAAGTTTCATGTCATCTACCTGTCCGTCAGTGTCAGTCGATACTTCGTCAGTCAATAATGATTTTAAAATTTAAAAAAAGGGACGACGCTTTTCAGTTTTAAGTACATGTTCCGACAACAACTTCTGTCATCGTCAGTCAAAACTAGAGTGAATTTGAAAATACAATTAGAGTCAGCCGCCACAAACTGAAGTTTCAAGTAAAAATTAAAGAAACCATGTCGCATCAATTGGGAGAAGCCTGCTTTAAATCGGCAATTCATCATGTTAATTTGACGCTTTCATTTTAATTTTTCTGTATTAGCCTCTTGTTCTTTTGTTTTTCTCTTCCACGTATTTTCTGATTCGTGCTATGTAAGTTATTCTAGATGTGGTAACATTTGTTGTATAAAACTTGTATATTAACTTATATATGCATGCAAATTCATTCTAGTTGTAATTGACGATGACAGAAGCTACTGTCGAAACATGCATTTAAAACTGAAAAGCGTCGGTACTTTTTTTAAAAGTTTATTAATTTGTAGCCTGCCGCTGACAAGACCGTTTGATTTTGAAATGTCTTTAGATTCGTGAGTGTAACGACAGTTATCGCCTCACTTCTACTGCATTCTTGTGCAAAATGTCCTCCGCCTTTCTATTTTCCCATCATTTTACAGTCACCACAATAGCCGGTATTTCCGGACCACCTTGAACAAGAGGAGATGGCTCTAACTGGTAAAGAAAATAATTATTACGCATGCAACACTGGTCAAATTAGCGTTAATTTGATGCATGTAAGCATAACTTTTTGAATATTCCCGTTAATTTCATGACGCGTAGATTTTGTTCGCGTTGTTGAAATATTTCTTTTTATTCCTGTGATAAGGTAGGTGTGAAAACTTGCCCAATTTTCGAACTCAAGTTCCACGGTTCCAAGGCTCCATAGTTTCCGGGGTGGTCAAGGTTCCAGAATTCCAATCAAGCAGTTCGGTTTCCATGGATTCACGGTCCCAGTCTTCTCTCAGCTGATTGCTTCATCTTCGACCTCTTCGAGTGCTAGTGGCTCGGTCAATAGAGCGTGTAAGCAGTTAAGATTTTAATTACCGGTCTAATCTCTGGAATCTACGAAGCGAAGAAAATGAAGGTACTCGAAACTAAGGTAAGTTTCCTACGTATTTGTTGTATGTGGTGGTTTTGAGACGGAAAATTTTAACAGCATAATCTTTCATCCTAACTCGACATTGAAACCCTGGCCTAATTTGATGTCTGTCGCGTGTTGGAGGTACAGAGTTCAGATATTTGGTTTTATGCAGCGTAAATTACGATCACTGTACCGAAAGCTCTGTCTTTTTGTGGTAGTAATCGAATTTAGTCTAATTATAACCATCGATAACCGGTAGAAACGTGCCTTCGTTGATTACTTGAGTTCATGTTAAGATTATTAATTTTGTATGAGGAACTTTCCTGCTCAAAGTAATTTCAAAACCGCTTGGATGATCTGTTCGTTTGTGAGACACAAACAGAGACATTTTGTCGTCTATCTGAAACTGAAAAACAGCATTTGTCTTATTTCATTTTCCACGGCCATTTTCCAACAAACCTTCCTGTGTGAAAAGATGGAAAATAATTAGCTTTAATTTGTACATGTATATGTACATGTAAAACGGATGACCGCGACTTTGCCGTCGGCCGACGTGTTCAGAACACACGGAATGGCCGTAAAACATTTTCAGAAATATACTGAACCTGAATTCAACTAAATAAATGAGTTGCTACGCTGTAAAATTATCCTGGCAACTAGGAAAATTCTGTGCCACAGCTGGGATCTCAGGTGAATCATACATCGTGCACATGTATGGCATCGTGCTGTTTGGCGATTATGTAACGATTAACAATGTATGAAAATGCATGAAAATTGCTCTTACTGCTTCCTGTCAACGAGAATTTAAATAGAAGTGGCTTGGCTTATGCATAAGTTTGTCTTAAAGTGGCTCAAGGCCATAGTACAGAGAAAAGGGCTACTTCCACATCAGCAATGTCACACAATATCAGCAATTTTTCATTATCTTCTTTAATATAAACAAAAAAACCCACCCCCATAGATATTATAATAAATTTAGTACACACATCACTTGCAAAAAATTTTGGATGTTAATATTTTGGATGTTTTATTTTGAATGTTTAATTTTGGGATACTTAATTACTATCTCGTTTTGGACAAATTTCAGACAACAATTTCCGACACCTCGCTGAAACATAGCCAAAGTAAATTCACACCTAGAAAACATGAATAAGACTGGAACAACATCAAAAGATGATGGTTTTACTGCACCCTCAAGGTTTTACAAATACACCAACGAGAAAATAACTCAAATTCTATCAAGTTGTTATAGCCATATATCTTGAGAGTAGTGTCTTAACTAGAGTTCCCCCTTTATAAAGCCCAACATAAGGGAAACTAAGACCTTTGGCACTATTTCAAAATTTTATACCTACTGTATTTTTTAGACGCCTGAAATTTTGATCACGTAAAAATTTTTGGACAGTTTTATTTTCAGACACTATTTTGTCCAAAATTAAAATCGTTCCAATGTTTTTGCAAGGAATGCATGTGAAGTTTCATAACAATTCGTTGCAAACTAATGGATATATGGGCACAGAACTTGCCAGTTTTGACAAAGAAATGTGTGACAGGGTACAAGGATTTAAAAATTGGCAAGTTTGGGATCCCATTTTTCCATGAGTTGGCAGTGGATTCTTATGAAACTTTGCACATTTACTAAACTGGACACAATAAGTCTAGCAGTGAGCCTATTTTTATTTGTTTGAATGAAAATATCAGACAAGCATGTCAGCGTCAAAGTGGTCCATTAAAAGAACACACAAAAAAGCAGAAGCCACTTCTACATTACACTGTAACTAATTCTTTTCAACATACATATATATATAGCAGCTAGTGCTACTTTTATGACTTCCCATATAATTATTATCTTGAGCAACTGAAATTGTTAGCAATTACCAACAGCATAATGCCACGTAGATTGTCTGCAAAGCTCGAGCTACTCTCTACAAGGTAACTTGAACTTGATACATGTAATTCTACATGTTACTTCAACTTGGGGAGCAAGGATGGGACATTGGGGAGAGTGCTTGTCTCTCACCAATGCAGTGGCCTGCCAGTTCAATTCCAGAAATACATGCATACACTGTAGCTGACATCACTTCAAAACATAACCATTTGAATTGCATCCTGAAAATAAGATCTTATTTAATGTATTTGTGCTTGACTGAGATTTGTTTTCATTGCAGACAGAGTTTGACAATTTTCTCACAGAAGCAGGCTCTAAATTAGTTGTCATAGACTTCTATGCTGATTGGTGCGGCCCTTGCAAGATGATTGGACCGAAATTTTTGGTAATTAATTTACAATGTACTGTAATGCAGGTTTCGACAAGTATGGTGAATAACGTAGACTATTAGGCAAACTGAGCTGAATGGCTATCTATGTGTACTAGTCTTGTAATTTTATTCATCTGAATTTTATAATCCCTAAATTTGTAACCGGTCACAGAAATAATATCTGAAAGGTTCAGTTAGGAATTTTAGGTTTAGTCCATGCCAAACCATTCCTACATTTGCTAGTGGACAGGTTAACTGTTGAATATTATATTTTAATAACTGGTATATATATAATAATAGTGAGTTAATAATCATGATCAGACACACCAGCTACACTGTATTAGAGTGGTTTTCAACTGAGTGTCATAAAACCAAAACCAAAGTAATTGCTCAAGCCAATCACAAAGGACACAGACAATACAGTGAGCCAATCAAAGCTCTAAGTAATTAAATGTAGCTGACACAAAGCATGGGAAAACATATGCGCATGAGTCATAATTGGTTTTGGTTTTACCTCTAATTGGGTAAAAGTTAGCACAAGTTTTTTTAAGCCAATCATGTAGCATGGTAAGCACAAAACCATTACTTTTTCGCACGCAAATGAAAACTGCCTTATGAATTAATGTTTATCTAACATTCTTTGGTAAAGTTGACTCATGTATTACTTTGGATGATAATGATGTACATCTCAGATTAGGTGAGGTTTTAACACAAAACATTTTTACGCATATGTACAGTACATTGTACTGTCTTCTACTAATCATCCAAAATTCGAGGTTCTTCATGTACCACTTAAATGAACATGTAATGTCTTGTAATGCCCTGAAAACAGACAAAAAAACACTCACTACAGCTTTTCAATATATCTTCACACCTCCCCCCAAAAAACAGATGACTGTTGTGGAGGTGTGATGGCCCAGTATCTCTCTCCACCCAGGTATATTATAAATGGGTACCTACAAATTTAATGCCAAGCAAAATTTTGCATCAGTAGAAACAATAGCCTGTTGAATTCTCAACAAAAATTCTTCAAAGTTTTGTTTGAAATGAAAATAATTTCATTTGCATTACTTTAGCACAATACTCTATTGGAAGCATTCAACAAAAATAGACTTTGACCTGACAATAATTATTATTATTATAAATTGTAAGATTATAGAAAATTAGAGGATTCACTGTACTGCACAATTACATACTAGGGTACATGTACATGTCTTGGTCATCCATTACTAGAGATCAGAGTTTCTACTTCATAGCTGCAATATCTACAGTAGTATTTGGCAGGATTACAAACATGTGCATGTACTCATGTAGTGGTACGTTATTAACTTGGTGTGCTGTGCACTGAGAGGAAAATTTAAAAGATTGCTTAAATAAGAACTGTAACAATTTGATTGTCTTATACTCGTCTGATAAATGTGTGTGAATTTTTTCATTTTAGAAAATGGCAGAGGATTTCCCAGATGTATGTTTTGCAAAAGTGAATGTTGACGAAAACTCGGTATGGTCTGTAGTTAAAATCATATTTGTGTCCATGGACACTATACAAAGGCGTCTTTAAAGGCCTGTTGCAAGTGCTAACTTACCTTCTAAGCAAAAAGGTGCTTTGCCATCATTTAAATAATTAAGACAGTTTCTGCCAAACATTGAATTCAAGCAATATAAAAGAGGGTTGTACAGGGGGGTCTCAAGATGGCACAGTTCACAAGTGGAAAAAATAGTGAATCATAGATTTCAAAATGTCATTTTCCCGAATCACAATAATAAGCAAATAAGGTACTCTTTGTAATAACCTGCTCAATACACTAGAAAGAGTGTTTGAAGAAGCATCAAAAACCATGAAAGGCTAAGTAAAGGCTCCTTATTGCAAATTGCGTACCTAAATCACTCTCGATAGATGGCTCTAACCATTTGGAGGACTCACTTGTCTTTCAAAATCGCCTAGAATAGAGTGCGGTGAAATCACAAATATCAGTTAATAATTCAAGTTCTTCACAGGTCACACAAAACCTTCAGATCACAAAGAATAATTTCTTAAATTCACATTTCACAGAAAATAAAATCAGCTAATCACGCATCACGGGAATACTCCTGTACGACCCTCATAAAACCATAAAAGCCTCACAGCACAGTTACATTTTGACTACAGTAAACAAGAACTTATCAGGACTTGAGCACTCAAGCTGACTCTGTGAAATAATACTGAATTTGAAGTTATCTATATTTTCATTACAATGGACATTTCACACTTGTTGAAAACAATATGGCACATGCTTTAAACATTTTTGTGAGGTTTGACTTTAACCTTCTCAAGAATGCTTGAGAGGTTAATTGCAGGTTCACTTGGAGAAATAATAATAATAGTTAATAGTCTTTTATGTTCTGCTCAGGACACTGCAGAAGAGGAGGATATTACCGCTATGCCAACGTTCAAATTTTACAAAAATGGTAACCAGGTGTGTAACTGGGTGTACACTGTAGATTGATCTTCAGTGATTAGAATAGATCCATGTATAAATTTGAAGGTGGTTCTACATGTAACTGATAATAAGTCTACGGAAGAAACCCTAGTGTGTGACCCTTCAAGTGAAAGCCATTGAGCAGTACTTTCATGTGGTACTGTTTATTATGCTGCACAAGGTGGTTCTCACTTTTTAGTCTGTGATGAAACCCTAATGTGTGACCATTCAAATGAAAGCTATTGAGCAGTACTTTCATGTGGTACTGTTTATTGTGCTGTACAAGTTTGTTCTAACTTTTAAGTCTGTAGATAAAACCCAAGTTTGTGACCATTCAAATGAAAGCTATTGAGCAGATCTTTCATGTCTGGCTACAAGCATTAAGGGTCTGTCTTGGGTACAACTGCTTGTTTTGGAATTCTTATTTTACTTTTCTGTGTACACTCCCTTGGGAGTCCAAGAGGCAATTATCTTCTGGTTTTGTCAGTTATGACTTAGATTTTTGGGTTTTTATTGCAGGTAGATGTGTTAACTGGAGCAAATGAGGCAAAACTGAGGGAGAAGATCGAGACACTCAAGTAGTTTAGACATTATGACAGGAACTTATTTGAATTTAGCTTGTATCTGCATGAAGGCATTTTGTTAATTTAAAGAAGAATCTTGACAGGATTGTTACTCAAGTCGATCAGCTTGTTTGCATGTATGATTTGCGAAAGCATTCTTTCTGCCCTTTCTCTCATAATGTGAATTGTGTCTCTTAAATACAAAACCATTCCATAAAATCTTCCTGCTTTCTTCTCTAATAAGTATGATAAATGATAGCAACAGCTATAAAATGATATGAGCCGCATTAGAGCTGTAGCAGTGAAATTTATAACTCCATGTACAACAACGACAGCAACAACAACTTTCATTTGTGCCCAACATTTAGACCAGATAACCTAATAAACAAATATTTTAAATAACCATAATGGGGCTTAATAAAGAGGACAGCCATATTCAAGAGAACGATAATTTTGTTAAATGGCTGGGACTTGTATATACACACACGCATAACACAAAAACCGAAAACTGAAAACGGAAAAAAGAGGAAGCAGAATACTTACTAATTTTGAACAAAGCTGAAACAGTTAATAACCATAAACAAAACTTCTTCTTAAGCAGAAGCGTATCATCTCGCGAGGTGATATGCTTCTGTCTTAAGTTATTATTAAATTGCAGAAGAGGGCTTTTTGTAGTAATTTGAGTGACCAAGGGATGTCTCTTCTATTAACAAGAATTTAGGCAAAAAATGATATTTATTGATGGGGAACAAGGGAGAAAATGCACAGTTTTGAGGGAACAAGAGAATGTGCATTCCCTCCCCCCTCGGGAGGGCCACCTTAAGAGATAGTTATCGCTAATAATTTTCCAAATTTTCTAATGCATACATGTATATATGTAAATCCAAAGATCTAGGGCATGAAAATGGCTGTTATCCAGTTTCCTTTATTCCATTAGTCCAGGCCAAATTTCTTCCGTTCTAGATAGTCAACTGAAATTTTTAAAATGTAATCAGCGCATACGTCAGAGAAAGTGACAACTGCTACTCACAATTATGTTTAGAGCAACTTTCAGTTTTCTTTTTCAGTTTTTTTACCTCTGCCCACCCCCACCCCCTAAATCACCTCATGATTTTTCTCTGTTCTTTTCAGGATCACGTGACCAAACTAGAGCAATATGTTTGGCTAGTATAATAATGATATCTTAGTTGGTCACTTCCCAATTAGGTGTTTCAGGGCCAACGGAAACAAACAATGTAAACGAACATAACATGGTTCAAAATCCCAACTGGCAGGAGGCTGACCAGTTGTTTATAAACAAGCGTCGCCAAGGAGTTGAACACCAGCTAATGGTCAGAGCGGGACTTGAACCGGCGACCTCCATATTTCAAGTCCGGCGACCCCCTGATAGTATCGTCTCACAGACAAATTTTGATGAGCCAAAACACGTTTACAAGAAAAGGAATGCATTGAGAGCACTTCACATTTCAGAACGAACGCGCCTGTTAGCAGTCTTTTGCCTATACCCTGCAAGCACCCTTTGCTACAGTACTTGAATGTTTTTGAAATGGCATGAAAGGAATAAAGAGGGAACTTTCCATTAGTAACACCTCGCCAAATAGACTTGACACTCAAACGAAAGCATTTTGGGCCCATGACAGTCTGTTTTGGCAATAGCTGAGATACTTGACTGGGCTGAGCTGGGAGGCGGGGATAGTGGACATTTGAGATGGTATCGGGTTCATAAATTATGGTGCTGGACGTCTTCGCTATGGAAGTTAAATTACAGCTCGAGACTGTATCAAACCAGAAAAAAGGAGTTACCACTCGATTAAGATAAATGTCTGATATACTAAAGGTGTCGCAACGGTTTCTGGCGCGGACCAGCATATCAAGATACGTTTTGCAAAGTTAAAAAAAAATTAGGGAGGGGTACCGGAGCCACCCAGAATTTTCGAAACCACAAGGTGGCAGCAGCCTCGATCCCAGGCTCTCTCTCCTTTGCCTCCTTTGAGATCGAGGCTGAGTGGCAGGAACTTAGCGACCATATAGGCATGCGCACGTGCGCAAGTAGGTACCTCCGGAAATCCAGGGGAAAAAATTACAAATCAGATCGACTATCATTTTCAATAAAGTTAAATCGGCTGGTTTGAAAGTCTCTAGTCTCTCCCATTGAACCAACTATTAATAGTCCTAAAGGTTAACCTATACACAGCACAGGTTACTAGTTATCTTTTGAAACTTTTCCCTGGAAAGCGAGGGAAATGGCATGTTTGAACCTCTAAAAATAACAGTTTCCTGTGTGGGAGGAGGGGGAGGGGTGGCATGTGTTCAAGCTCACCAGGCGACTCGCGACTTCGGCACTCTATTGACTTTCTCTTCGGCGTATATTCCATGTAAAATGCACGCTACGATCCTGGGTGGTCATGGTACTTGAACAAAACAGCTGCTATACCGAGATTGTTAACAACGTTAGCTTACACTGGTGCCTTTTTCAGGGCTGCTTCGTTGACACGGAACAAAAATTGAGAGGCAAGGAAAGCAGTCATTTGTCTCGAAAGACCTAAGACCCCCTCGCATCTCTATACACGAATTAACAAATGCGATGGATTTTGCATCTGTCCAACTCTTCTCCGTGGCTGTAACATACCTTGGATTGTATCTTGCTAGAAAGTGCGAAACTCAACAAACTTCCAAACAAACTGTTATGCAAGATTACACCTTTTGCTGTTCATTTACAGAAAATATCCATTCATTGGTGTCCAAATTGTTTTAATATGGTCAAGATACTCTCATTAACACCAATATGACCTTCATTTGCGCGTTAGACGTTCAAGAATAACCGATTTGTATATGTACGCTCATTTGCATTTTTGGACAATCATGCGTGCAACGGCCTGAAAAAAGGCCATTGCAACAGAAGTCTGGGGTCAATGCAACTGATCAATAGTCTGTACCTACGCACTATGTCTCAGTGGACTCAGTTCTTGTTATGGGGTCTTATCATTTTACTACACGCTGGAATCTACGAAGCGAAGGATATTAAGATGCTCGAAACTAAGGTAAGCTTAATCCTGATTGATTGTTGCAGGTGGTAGTTTTGAGCAGTGTTGAGCGAAATTGACAGACGGAAAATTTTAACAGCATAATTTTTCACCCTGTACACGACAAACTCTCATTCAATGTCCGTCGCGTGAGTTCAGATATTTGCTTGTGTGTAGTACTTAAAGCTTTTGGAGCAACTACACAATACAGGGCCACTTTTGAACGTCTGTATATTAAATGGCCAGTTTGGTTAGTTTGGCTCGGCAGTGGATAAAAGAACGATGAATAATCTACACACGCGTTAAATCCTAGGTCTATATATATTAAGTGACTCGTTTGATCAGCCGTCGCCCACAACCAGACGAATAAATTAAAAACACTGGTTTTTGACAAGTTTTAACCGGTTTATGACTTGAGAATGACAGAAAGAAACGCTGCCCATTTACGAGACTGCTAACAATATCTGCTGCGCTGTGATTGGCCACAAAATTACAATTGGCATGGCAACACTGCACTGACATGGAAACCAAATAAAAAAACTATTCATTGTCAAAGGAGCACAATTTCAGGGTTGATAGGCAGGTTATTAAGCTTGAATTTTCAGTTTTTCAAAAACAGTTTGTTTATCTGCAGCTAGCTCGCGTGGTCTTGAATGAAGCCAATTTTGGTTTAATTCGTCTGTTTCTTTTGTCACTTAGTACTTCTTAGAACTTTACGAAATTTCTGTAGTTTCTCTGACAAATAAACGGTGCAAAAGTCGCAATTCAAGTACATGATTCATCGAAAATATGTAACTAGAAAAATTGGATTGCGTGCAATCGTTTCCAATGACAAAGCACCACGCATGCGACATGCTGACATGGTTCGCGCATGCACGATACGAAATTGAGCGATTGCGAGCAGAGGTTTCTCCCTGTCTCTCAATGAGCAGTAAAAGACGAGAACCTCTGTCTCGCAGGTTATATCGTTGATGTCTTGAGCTCATTTTGAGATTAATACTGTGAAAGTCAAAAAGCCGTGAATGCTTTGATTTGATTTTGACATGTCCATTGTGTAGCCCAATCAGATGCGAGGTAAAACCGCAGAGAAAGCAAACTAAAAAAATTAACGTTGAACTCTAACCCAAACAAATTAACGGTGTCTCCATCAATCACGAAACCACACTTCGATCGTTTTTCCTTCCAAAAACTGTCTGTTACCCTTTAGTTTTATAATCACTCATTTAACCTGTTCTATTTGTGCAAGCTGAACAGGAAATTAACTCGAGCGACTTTAAATGGCGTGTGGCTCAAACCTGCACTCGCGGACTTGTAGCCTTAGGCTACAAAACCAGACAGCTCTTCTATATTCAACTTCATCGGTTACTACATTTGGCGATAAAAATTATAAAGAACCCTGATAACTCCAAACTAAAAAGATCACTTTCTATGCAAGGTGAGAAGATTTGGAAAAAAACGAGGTTAAGGAGCAAAATAGATACAGTCAACTCCAGTTATAGCGGACACCCTCGGGACCGCGATTTGGTGTCCGTAATAGCGAGAGTCCGCAATAGCGGGGTGCGCGAAAATTTTTATTTTAAACGATATTTACAGAAGGGGGTCACATGTGTGTTCATTTTCATTAATTCCAGTGCCTTTTTCAGACCCGTTGTCGCACGTAAAGAGCGTCAGAACTTTATTTACAAACCGGAACAGAACTTAACAGAACAGAAGTTAGGTATCCTTTGTGTACAGTAGTTCTTCTAAGTACGTAAACAACAATCATCGTATGTTGCAGCAATGTCCACACATGCATCGTTTTGGTTTCCTACTGTACTGATGTACAGTAATCTACATTTCTAAAAAAAAAATATTTTCAAGGAAAAACCTGAACATCAGCTATTGCTCGCATCAGCTATCACATTACCTTAAAATATCGTTCCAATCGGCTCTGTGTACTTCTCCTTTGAATTGCAACTTCCCCCACTTTGTCGCCAAGGAGACTAAATTTATTAACAACCTTAAACTCCCCTCGATGAATCAAAAAAGCAGAAATGTTTTGGACACTGTCCAGAACGTCCTTGAAACTTTTCAAAGTGGTTGTTTCGTTTGAGGTTTCGCTTTCACTTGGGGTATCTCGTTCTTTTTCCGTTTCACTGATTGATGGACAGAAGAGGCGGAAATCGACCAAAAGAGACAAAGACAATCTCAAAAAGCGGAAAAAATGGACTTGATATGTGTGCAAATGTTCCAAGATGCTGCTCGGTTTCCGCTATAACGAGAGAGAAAACAAGAAAATTGTGACGTTGGGACCGAATGAAGTGTCCGTAAGTCCGTAGTATTCAGTAGTATTTAACCCCTTGTAGAGAAAGTATTGCCGCGGTGTCAACTGTCGCTGGTTTTCACGTCCCCGTCTTCCAAAAAGGAGGCCGA